GAGGGAGGGAGGGAAGGATTTAGGGAGGGAGAAAGATAGATCATAATTCCGGAGAATAATAGGACATAGAGGTAATAGGGATACGGCATAGATCATAGAGCATAGGGATCATAATACAAGATCGCTAAACAGGAGGGGGACGACACGGGGGATGCACTCCCTCATCGAGAGCAGAAGTCTTCTGCTGGGAAGGTGGAGAAAGAGTCAAAGAACAGACTCCACCCCCATGCATCGCACACGAGCTCCGCATCGCGTCGAAAGCGATTCTCGGGGATAAAATATGCGCGATACCACGCGCGGTTGCCGATTTACGAATCAGTAGCAGCTGTGCTGCAGCATCCACCACGCAGCATCAATAACACTTTATCAATGACCCCATCATCATCACGCGCGCGCTCGCGTCCATCTATCTACGAGGGAGGGTTGGCTCGCGCAATCAGGTTTGATGACACGAGGACACGACCGCGTCAAACCCCGCTGCCCCCACTGTCATTTGTCGACATCGCCGCAGCGACCGAGTTTGCTTCGGCGTCGCCGTGGCGACCAAGATGGCTATGTCGTCGCTGCGGCGACAGAGATGGCTTCGTCAGTGTCAGAGGTGGCGGCGGCGGGGGAATTGTCGTCAAGGGTCACACGTACCTTTTGTAAGCTGGACTGATTCAGCTGTGTCTTGTCTATGATCTTTATGGCCACCTGTAACGAAGCGAAGATACCCGTTAGCGAGATGCTACATCCGCTACACACATACATACGCACATGCACGCACGCTTACGCACGCACACACACACACACACACACATCCACCGCAGACCCCCCCCCTCCCCCTACGCCAACCCACTACCACGCAGTGACGCAGCGAGCAAACCGGGAAAATTCCAGAATCGGGGGGAACATCCCACGACTTCCGGGGGAAAACGCTGCTGCGAAGGTTCGAGGGCGATGCGTAAATAAAGCATATATATATTATCTATATGGCGCTCGCAGTAGAACGACGTATAGCAGGCAGACAGAGCACGTTATCTAGTACACACGTACACACACATTATTACAGCTGCAGTAATAATGCGCGTACGTTCGTACTAAATAACGTGCTCTCTCTCTCTCTCTCTCTGCTTGCTATACATCGTGCTGCTCGCGTATCTAGCACATCCCCTCGCACATCCCCTCGCACATCCTCGGGGACCGCGAAACACAGCTTTTAACAACAAAAGTGATGACATCGCAGCCGGTAATGACTGCTGCTGTCATATGACCGACCC